GTACCGCCAACAGCCTCCCGGCACGTTCCGCGGAGGCGATTAGCAACGGGGCGGTGAAGAAACCAGGGCACCCAGGACGTTCCCGCTGCAGCAGAGCTCCTCCTGCCCACGGGCAGCCGGGTAGCCCTCGGCTCACACGGAACATCCACTCCTCGGGTTCCGGGCTTTTCCCCCGAGGACAGCCACGGGAACCCCGAGCAGGAGATTTCATCTGCCCCGTCCCCACGGGCACTCCAGGGCTGAGTTGCTAATGCAAATCTCTCTTTAGGAAAGAACAGCCGCAAGGGGTTGCACTTTTTGTTACTTTGTAAAAGCTCCCATATACAATGAAAAACTGCATCCTCCAGCTACAGGCCGCCAGGGACCTTTCAAAATGTTTCTGCTCAAGTTACAGAGTCATCCCATGGAGTCAGGAGTTCAAGCTCCACAGCCAGAGGAGAAGGGGATGTCAAGGTCACGGGCACCTTCAAGCCCTCCCCACAGTGTCTCGGTGTTCAGACCATGAGCCTGTTTGACACGATTCAGACCATGCTGAGTTGAGGCCCCGGAGACACAGTAAAATCATGGTCTGATCACCTGAGGTGAGTTAACCTTGGGTGGGTGCCAGGTGCCCCACCGAGCTGCTCTATCACTTCCCCTCCTCAACTGGACAGGGGAAAGAAAATATTACCAAAGCCTCGTGAGTTAAGATAAGAAGGGAAGATCACTCAGTATTAGAAGCACAGGCAAAACCCACTCACTTTGGGGAAGTCAGTTTAATTTATTGCCAATTACATCAGAGTAGGATAATGAGAAATGAAAAACAAGGCCAAAACACCTTCCCCCTTCGCCCCTTCTCAGGCTCAGCTTCACTCCTGAATTCTGTGCCTCATCCCCCTAAGCAGCACAGGGGGATGGGGAATGGAGGTTGTGACCAGTTCATCACACATGTCTCTGCTGCTCCTTCCTCCTCACACTCTTCCCCTGCTCCAGCTTGGGGTCCCTTCCATGGCAGACAATCCTCCATGACCTTCTCCAATGTGGATCCTTCCCATGGGCTGCAGTTCTTCACTGGGAAGAGCCTGCAGGTTCCAGCTCTTTGCCTCAGAGCCCTGTGTGGCTCAAGTAGCCAACACAGCTCTTTAGAGCCCATGGTCAGAGTTTTCTGAGGCACAGAGTGAAGGATTAGCCGTGGTGCCTGTCTCAGCTGGTCTTTGTAACTCTGCAGGGAACTACTGTCAGGGGGACAAACAAGGCAGAGCAACAGGCATGGCCATGCCAGCACATGGATCAGCCCCATGTTCACATGGGATCAGCCCCTCTTGTCCCTGTTTCCAGCTCTCGTCCCATGCCTGCTCCAGGACAGACTGCCTTGATCTGTGTCCCTGCTGCTTCCCCTAAACAACCCATGCACATCCCCTTGCACAGTCCCCAAATGCTTTTCCACTGCATCCTGTAAGGAATCCAATCTCCCTGTAGGCAGAAACACTTCTGAGTTCCTAACATGGTCCTCTCTTCTCACTCTTCTCAGAGGTGTCACCTCCAGATGATGGGGTGATCAGTGGTAATGGGAAGGAGGGGGGTAAGATGTCTGTGAGCAGAGGTTTGTGCTGGATGTCCCTCATGTCTCTGACTCTGGCTGGGATGTTTACAGCACATGCTGTTCCCCAAGACATTTCCCTTGAAGGGCCTCATCTGTGGTCTGGGGAGAAGGGAGAGAAACTCCCTGTGGGGAAAGAGAGTCAGACTCTTGTTTCCAGGTACCTTTGGCTGTTCCTGGTTCTACCTCCCTTCAGACACTACGGAGGAAGGACAAGGAGCACATCAGGGGCTGCAAAGTGGCCTGTCTCCAACCCGGAGAGAGGTGGGTGCAGGCCTCTCTCTCTGGCTGAGCACAGGATGGCAGAATTTCATCATGGAGCCCAGAACTGGACCCAGCACTCCAGAGGTGGCCTCACCAGTGCTGAGTAGAGAGGAAGGATCAGGCCCCTTGTCCTGCTGGTGATGCTCTTCCTACTGCAGCCCAGACTGCGGTTGGCCTTCCTTGCCACGAGGGTGCATTGCCACAGCATATTCAGGAACAATCCTGAGCTGCTGAAAGGGGCTGGACATAGCAGCGATTATTCAGGAGAAGTATCCCAGTGACCCCTCTTGGAGAAGGGGACTCCTGGTAGGAGACATGACAGCTCCTGTGGAGTTACCTCCTTGACAAAAGAAACCCAAGGAAGGCAAATGTCCTCCTAGCCCTGGATCTGGGGATCAGTGAAAGCCTCAACTTGTGACAAAGAGCCATCAGCCAGGCACTGGACTGAATCTTTTCTCTGTTCAACCCCTTGAGTTCTCCCCCTGCTTTTTGGGCCTCTCCTCCAGCTGTGGGCACTCAGCAGCAGTAGGCTGGGGGAGTCCCTGTGTCCCTGAGTCCCTGTGAGTTCTCTGCCCAACAGAAAACTGCTGGTGGCTGCAGTATTGGGGTGTGCATTTCTGGGATCTAGTGGGTCCCTCTGTGCACACGTCTCTTTTTTAAGTCAGTCTGTCCTGGTAAGCAAATAGCTTGTCCTGCAGTGGGAAAGCTGTGGGGGGAGCTGAAAAAAGCAGCCATGGTGGCCAGCCAGCATGTCCTAATTACTGGAGTGGGGTCAGCTCAGTAGGCCATGACAGCGGCTGTTGGCAGTGAGGCCGTCTGAGGCGAAATTTCAGGCTTTGTGGAAGACAGTGGGTGGCTGAAATGTCTAAAGGAGAGATGGGCCAGAGGGAAAGAGGAGGAGGCAAAGAGCATGAGGGACCTGTAGACAACTGTCTCTGTGAGGTACTGGAAGAGATATGAGAAGTCCCCTTTCCACCTGGACGGGCTAAGAATGATAAGATTTGGATCCGACCTGGAGGTGGAATCCAGGTCTGTCCTCATGCTGGGGTGTTCCCAAAGAGCTGTGAGAGAGGGTTCAGGGTCTTGCAGGAAATGCAGGACATCTGGGGAAGCAAATAATAAATAATATGTAATATGGGGGTACAAAGTAATTCATTCTAGAATGACATTTCACATGACCCAAGTGCTTCTTTACACCACCTTACCTCTGAGACTGATGGCTCATTTGGCCAATCTTTCAGTTTACCTTCACGTTTGCCCCATCACGGGTGTCCTGGAAAGTGAATGCCATGGCTTAGTGCTGCTGCAGGTGCTGCAGGGACACACTTCAAAGACTGAGCTCACCTTGGGGTTTCCCCCCAGAGCCATGACTCAAGTGACCCAGTTTTGTCTGTAGACAGGGGCCTTTCAGCATCTTGAGGAATTCACTCCCCCGAGGTACTTCACCAGAGGTCACTCAAACAGGAACACCAGGGAACCCTTTTTCACTGTGATGGTGAGGGAGCACTGACACAGGATGCCCAGAGAGGTGGAGAAGTCTCCATCCTTGGAGGTCTTCCAAATCCCTCCAGACATGGTCCTTTGCAACCAGCTCTAGGTCACTCTTCCTGTGGTGGTGTGTAGACCCTCTGAGCTCCAGAGGTCCCTTCCAAATGTACCAATTCTGTGTTTCTGTAACATGAGACATGAGGGGATGCTGAGAGGACTGTCTGTCTTCAGACTTTCAAAGAGAAGAGCTTTTTGATGCTTCTAACACTTGACTGGAAGATGCAGGGCCAGATGGAGTCAAACTGTTCTTTGAGCACAGCCATAACACAAAGGGCAGTGGACACATTCTGGAACAGGGCAAATGCGTACTAGAAATTTAAAAATGCAGGTGCCTAACTTCTCCATGAAATATTCTCTAGTGGTTACTACGGGCCACTGCTTGCGGGGAAATGGATTCCCTGGTTTATGGGGCATTTTCTCAACAGAGGAGTAATTTCCCACTAAACGTAGGTTTTGACAGGGACAGTCAGGATCTGCAGGGCTTGGAGTGTCATTCTTCAGGTGTCTGAGACCTACATGCTAGAATGGTGCTGGGAGAAGCCTCAGGGCAGACACGGATGGACCCAGGTGCAGCCAAGCCAGACAATGTGTAAGGGAAGGGGAGAGGAAAGAAACGGGAAGGAAGGAAGGAGAGATTCATGGGGATGTGACCCTGAGGTCAGTGAGAATGGCTGCAGGTTGAGGACTATGGCTCAATTTCTGCTCTCATTAGAAGTGCCAGAGTCCTAATGTTGCTGTAGATGTCTGCTGTGACTCTTATGGAGGCAGATCCATCTCTGTAGCCCTTTGCAGGGTGAGCTCTAGCCTGCTCTTCCACCTGGGAAAGGCTTTGCTAGCCATGGAACCATCCAACATTCTAGGAATCTTCTTTTAAGTCATAATAAGATGCAAAACTTCAATTAGAATATTCCTATTATTATCATTACCTTCCCCTATAGAATACGTTGTCATGTGACCTTTGGGTTTGTGGCATCCAGCAGCCTCACAGGAGCCAGGTTCCTCTCACTCCCCAGAGGTTACCCCCCCAGAACAAGACACAGACAGAGCCCCTGAGTGCTGCACAGCAGGGTTCATCTCCGATTTCTGTGGGTTTGGGGGAGAGATGTTGTTCTCAAGAAGCTGAGGAAGGACAAGGGAGAAGTGACAGAACTGGAGGAGGCTTCTGTTCTCAGAAGAAATAGCAACATCCCCAGAGAGCTGAGGACATCAGGGGAAGATATACAACATCATTGTGGAAGATAATCCTGACCTCCCAGATGGCCCAGCAGGGGCTGTGCAGAAGAGCAGGTGATTCTAGCTGGGGAGGTGAGGACTCCACTGCCAGCTGACCAGGAACAGCCTCTTCCACAACTGGCACAACTAGATCCCCCCAGGGCCCCTCACTGTGGAGATGCTGAGAAGGCCCTTGGCTGAGGGAGCCACAGCTGTTGCTGCTGGAGGAGGGAGAAACCCAGAAGGAGCATTTCAGGCACAGGAAGAACAGATCGTTTCCCTCCCCACTTCTTCCTTTGCTCCCCCAACAGAGCTGTTTCCGGCAGCTCTGCTATCTCGGGGCTGGGAGGTGCTTTTCTGACTCTCTCACTCAGCAAAAAGGCCGGTTGGTCTCGACATGCACCTCAGATATCTCATCCTCACGGCCTTCCTGGGGCAACTGTTGGGTAAGTCTTGGCTTTCTAGAAACAAATACTTCTACTGTGGAAACCCTCAGAAGTCTTAACACGATGATGTGGGAAATTACTCTTGCATAACATGAAATATTGTCTCCAGATGCTCTTACTGTTTGAAACAAGAAGAGAATAGAGAGAAGAGAAATATCAGAGCCTTTCACCTGCTTTTCTCTCAATTTCAATTAAACCTTTATACATCTCTCTACTTGCTGTCAATCTCAGCTCTCTCTGCACTCCAAAATTTTACCCTTTCAATGCTGCTACATGGAGTTATGAGCCCTCGAGCCACTGACATCAGTGGGGTGTCCCATTCTGCCTCCTGGCTGGCACACACCTGCCATGACCTCCAGTCTCCTGCTGATGGTCAACACAACCAGGGCCCTGTCTTTACAACACTGGGCTCAGCTTTGTATGTAGACAGGGAGCTAGGAGCCCTCCACAAGGACAGGCATGGGGAAGCAGCATGAATATTTTGCAAGAGCTCCCCACGCCTCTCAAGCTGTTGGAGGGGTGCTGGTCTGGCACACAAGATCAACCAAAACAGGCTGTTCCCTGCTACTCTGTGCAGCAGGACAAAGGGAAGGGAAGAGGAGCAGGGACACAGCCCAACTCTTCTCATGGTCCATGCTGGTCGAAGGAGAGGGAGCCTTCTTCTTGAGGGTTTTGCATCCATTTCTGGTTTGATCCCCAGAGCACCTCCCAGCAGAGCTGCTGACCTTCCCTTCCTTCCAGGCACCACGGGGCAGATCACAGTCACCCAGCAAGAAGGACAAGTCACAGTGAAGCACAGAGACACCTTCCAGACCAACTGCATGTACCAGGTCTCTGGTTTTGATGCCTTGCTCTGGTACCAGCAGAGGAAAGGCCAAGCTCCCCAGCTGCTCTCGTATCAGGCAGCAGCTGGCCCCAGGCAGAGCGGCCGTCTCACCACGTTGCTGAACACCACAGGGAAATACAGCGTCCTGCAGCTGGAGGAAGTCGAGGTCTCTGACAGTGCCCTGTACCTCTGTGCTGTGCCAGACACCCTGGTGCAGGGAGGTTCCTTGGCTGGGCAAGAACCCAGGGGAGGGAGGGGCTGTGTGTGTGCAAGGCTGAGCTTGGGGGAAGGGGCCCTCAGCTCTCCCCTGGCACCTCTGCTTCCCCTGGGCACCCAGGGATCTGCAGGTCAAAATCTTCTTCCAAGAGGGGACAGTGTCAGTGGTTTGAGAGGAAGGAGCAGGTGGTGGCAGAGTCTCAGGTCCTCTTCTTCTCACCATGGAACACATGATTTTTCTGCCCGATGGCTCTGGTGAGGGGTCAGGCAATGCAGGGATGGTCTCTGTTTGTTCAGTAATTCCTTACTGCTGCTCCTTGCTTTCTGTTGTTGCCCGCTGCACATTGCTGCTTCAGGCTTTCCTGCAGGCCTGTGTCTTAAGAGTACCTGCTGTGGGATGTGTCCATCAGAGGTCAGAGTTCAAAGTGGGATGGAAAACAAATAACATATCATGGTGCAACGCTCCTTCTTGGAATTGCATGATTCTTACAATTTTAGACAACAGTCTGATCCACCTTGAGGACTCTCCTGTAGCTGTGTCACCATGAGCTGGGATCCAGAGGACCTGCCCTCCCCAGTGCACTCTGCTGGTCCTTGGAGCCCTTCTCATGCCCTACCTCATGGGCCTGCCAGGAGAAGACCCGGCCTTGGGGAGAGCTGCCTCATGCCTGCAGGAAGGCCAGGCAGCACCGATGGACCATGGGGGCTTGGGCACTGGCTGCTGTCCTTGGGGTGCCCTGTCTGGTGGGAGCTGAGGGTGTGTGAGTGACAGGAGGGCTCTGCTGTGAGGGCTGCACAGGCTGATTTCAACTTAGTTTTAGGGTCAGCTTAACGCTTTGAACTGTGTAACTGCTGGGCTGTGCAGTGATCCCTTTGGCGGATGGAGGGTGTAGAGGTGACCTGTCTTTGCTATCCTTACCTTTGAGTGCCGGTCAGACCCCCTCTTTCTGGGGACAGGTGGGAAGATGATGAGCAGAAATTCTGGGGCTCTTTTAAAGCATTTTCCTCACATCGTCCCCACTCATGAATCCTTTGCAGACATCTTTTGACTGATATTCTTTTCCTAGTAGTTTTGCAAGAAGAACTCCCTTCTTCACAAAGCTACTGAGCTTTCAGTGCCTCTAACCTCATTGGGCTCCTCTCTAGGGGATAGCAGTGGTCAGGTTTCATTTCTGCAGGACATGCTCTGAGGACAAGGGCCTGTGTCTGAGCAGAGATGCCAGAAGGCAGAGCCTGATCACCACTGACTGTGGTGGAGCCAGGGATGTCTTCCTCACCTCCAAGAGACAGTGCCTGAGAGTGCCCCACTGCCATGTGTCCCATCCTCACCTTCCTCTGGACATGAGTATACATCTGCTTGTTCCACGACACAATCCCCCACCAGTCAGTAGAATGCCTTTCTTCTTCAGCAATTTTGTACAATGTGCACCAATAAAAGAATTATATGGAGACAGAGGCTGGGATGCAGAAAGCTTTAATGACTCTGAAAGAGGGAAATAAGTTCACTTGGAGAGGAGGCAGCCAGAGCAGGGAGAGCACCAGCAGCTGCCAAATGTCTGCGCCCATTGGCCATGGTGGAGATCCCAGAAGGGATCCATCAGCACAGAGGGAGAGGGGCCAGTATATCCTGCAGCTTGGCTTTGGGGGTCTTACATCCCAGAAGAACAGAAGACAAGAAAAAGATGTCAGGCAGTAGAAGGCAGGGGAGATAGACTTTGACAGTGTTACCAGAGAGGCACAGCTGCCCTCCCTTGGAAGGATGCTCAGCCTCCCTGAAATCACTGGCCAGGAGCTCTGTCCTCAGTCCAGCAGGAGCTTCTGGGTTCCTGGGGTCCTTGTGCGGGCTGTCACCAGTGGCTTTAGCAAGGGGGGCACCTTCTGCCACAGTAGCGGCTGGTAATGCAGGAGAGGTCAAAGCCCCCAGAGTTGATGGGCACTCCGTCACAGCTGAGGATGCGGCCAACGGCAGCGGAGGTGGAGGAGCCCACAACGGTGTTCTGTGGGAAGGAGCTGAGGATGGGGCCGGGCAGGGTCACCACCACCGGGGAGGGCTCGATGACGACGGTGGAGTTCTGGCACTGCCTGACACAGGGCTCATTGCAGCTGTTGGCCAGCGGGGTTGGGCCGCAGGGCTGGCAGCAGGGCTCGCAGGGCTGGCACTGGTCGCAGCATGTCTTGGGACTTTAGTTGCACCTGGGAGACTGTTTAGGGAGGAAGAATAGTATAGTGATGTATGAGGAGCAGCTTGTCACTTCACTATGAGGGAGAAAAAGCACATTCAGTGCCCGAATGTGGAGTCTGTGCAGAGATGTATGAGGGTTTCTTAGACTCATCCTGTCATGGACCAAAAAGAGCCAGCAGCTCCTATGTAGCTACTCTCTACCCCGGAGTACAGAAGCCTCCTCAGTACTGTCCCAGCCTCCCTCCAGACTAAACTTCTCCCCTCTCCCCTCTCCTATGACAAGCAGCCCCAAGATCTGGTATGGAAGCAAGCCGGTCTCAGCTCACAGGTTCACTGAAGTGAGACCTCCTTTGTGAGAAAGCAGAGAAGGAGAAGGGACCTCAGACTCACCTGGTTCTCAAGGAGAAGGAGGCAAGAATAGTGGATGAGAGAGCAAGGAGCTCTGCTGGCTTTTATGCTGGACCTTTACTGCCCCAGGCTGACAGAGGCATCCCTTGTAGAGGTGGTTATTATCTGACAAGCTCATCCTGAATGCAAAACATCCCATTGTCATGGATGAAAGTATTGACACGGTAATGATTTAGAAAAATAATCTAGATTTATTATTAACTAACAACTATTTGTCAATACAAAATAACTCAGAAAGAAAAGCAACTTATTCAGGTTCTAAAATGACAAGATTCACTCTAACTTACTTAATGGTACCTTAATTTATACACATATGTACATGCGCATACACAAACCAGACATATACATACAGAAACAAAGGGGTTTAGATTCGGTAAAATGAACACAAAAGGGACAAGCACACAGGAACAAGGGTAAGTGTAGGTACACACACACACACACCCCCACACACACACCCCCCAATAAACAGGCGAAATAGAAGCTAGCTCAAAGAAAATTTCCCTCTCGAGTTTCGAGCAAATACTCACAATACCTTGGCATTCCTCAACGGGCGATAACTGAGACTCGAGCGGGGGGACTTCGCCCTGGCCTTCCGTCTGGTGCGGACGACACCTGAGAGGCGTCCCGGCTCAGGGGAGATGCTGGTCACAGCCCGCTGCGATCCAGGAGAGCTAAAAGTGTCACTCTGGGGGTCGCAGTTTATAGGATCCAAGATAACTGACTTTTGTCAAATACTATCTGGTGCCTTCCAGCAGTTGCACAAGAATTTGAATAACATGCAGCCCTGCTATTGTTCCATCTGATCACATCCCAGGCACAGGTGTGTCAGGCCATCAGGAGATGATGGGACATTATAACCTTTTCCAAGCAATTGGGAGGGGCAGGAGCCAGGCTGGTCAAGGTTATCAGTCCTTATCTCCACAGATTGGTGTATGGCCTGGGGGAATATGGATGGAATCACACCTGGCACCGAGCAGCCCAACAAGGAGGGCAGGGAGGGGTAAGAATTGCACCACCAAGCCCACCTAATGCTATGGGCTGTGTTTTGCCTTCTGGAATAATTTTCTGCTTGATACCAGGTACATTCCCCAGTGAAAGCATCTTTTGCATGACAGGATGAGAGGCCCAACCATTTCCGGAGCAAGATACATCAGCCTGAGCAGAGGACTCGCCTCACATCCTGGAGGACTCCTATAAGGGACACTCAAGGTAGACCAAACAGTTGGATTAGACAATACACACAGACACACAAACATGTGCACGTGAACACAGACGCACACACAAACACAAATCTAGACCTCTAGTCATTCAGAGTTGTTTCAGAAAACTCAAGGTGCCCAAAGAGAGACATATACACTGTGCACACAGGTGTTGGACTGCAGTGAGTCATCTTCTCCAAGTCCTGTTTCCAAGGCCTCCGTGTGTCTGAGGGAAGACTGATCTGGGCTTGGTGAGAGCAGGAGATACAACTGATGATAAAAATGTGTCCAGCTTGAGTATGTTCACCACACTAAAGCCCTTTCCCTGCTCCCTGTCTGTCCCTGTGTACCATGGACAAGGGTGTGGACTTTAGGCATGGGATGGAGGTGCTTGTAGGTGCTGGTAGGACAGACTGTGGGTTTATTGCTGGTCACATGATGAAGCTGTCATTAATTAGCGCTAAAGCTGGAAAGACAGAGAGGATAGTATAGACAACCTTACATCTCTTCAGATGCTGGGAACCCTCAGCTGCTCTACATCAGCTGCTCTCCCAGAATGAGAGAATCACAGAACAGTTGAGGTTGGAAGGGACCTCTGGGTGTCATCTGGTCCAACCCCCCTGCTCAAGCAGAGTGTCATGTCCCGCTCAGATGAGGGCGACATGTGACTCAGATTCGTAAATCCCCAACAGAGCGGACAACAAGTCTCATGATCATGTTAGCCTTCATTAGCATATTGAGGGGTGTTAACTTTAATATATATTTCATGGATAATGAAGCAAATTTCATTCACCAGACACATGGCCCTTGAAATTTGTCCAGATGCCCCAGAGCAGAGCCGTCATTTCCCCACAGGACTCCCTCTCCAGCTGCACCTTGTGTTAGTCAGGCAGCCTGATCAGCCTCGACCTCCACACCATCCACCTGTGACTCATAATTTTGTCTTGCGAGTGTTTGAGGCATTTCTTTGATCAGCCTCAATTTTTGCTTTCTCGGGCTGTTTTATTTCGTTTCTCACGGTCTGGTTTCTCATCTCTCAAATCCCACTGCGTGTCTCAAACACTTCAAGTTCTTCTTTGACCATTGTGATTTCAAAAGGTATAGGGAAAAAGAAGACAGAAGGTGAGAGAGCATATATCTAAACTGCTGGAAGGCATACTATTAAAAGTAAAAATTTGCATAATATCACAATACTAATATTTACAAGCCATCTTCCCCACCCTCTGAGTCCTGAGGATCCCAGTGATATGACCCATGACCCAGGCTTCCATCCATCAAACCAGTCCATTGGTTGAAAAAGTTCTCTGTTCCTGTTGACGATCTTCTTCATCGTGGCATGAGTCTCCTCTACAGAGGTGGTGGCACTGTGGATGGGGGTGCAGCATTCTCTCCCTCAGTCAGACTCAGCACACGGCACAGTCCGTGTTCCTTCAGCCAGATTCTCAACATCATCTTACTGGCCAGATTCTCAACATCATCTTAGATGTTTGTTGGGTCTGCACCTTTAATTCCCTAGAGGCATACCTTGTTAGTACATAGAATTGCTAATTAAATTTTCTAAAACTATTTGAGGTTACACAATCACATTAACAGCTCTAAAAGGATTTAAATGTTAATGCATTTAATATTCAGGTACAATTCATTAGTGCTTAATTTGTGGGATCAGACCCCTCCAGCTAATCTTTGATTACTTCTTCGTGCTGCTGGTGGATGTGGTGTTGTCAGGACCACATCCAGTTATACGAGCTAGCACTGTAATCTGTTTGGTATTTGCAAGCACCAGTGTGCAAAGGTGACTCACAGGCTTCCTTCATTTTGGAGGTGGTTCCCAATAAGGTAACTTAAGGCACAACTTCAGATTAGCCTTCCCGTAAGTGGACTCATTAAGTGTACCTGTAAAATTTCCTGGATTGTTGATTGTAATTGATTGACAATGATTTATTCCACACTCAGCAGGTATGATTCCACAAATTATATAATAATGTAATCAGATTACAAATAATAACTAGTCGATAACACCTATAACCATTGAAAGTGCTAAAAGTAACATAGGTCTCCTGTTGTCCAGGATCAATGTCCTGTAAAACAAATATATGCATAACAAACCAATAATGGTTAGAAAGAAGGGACAATCCACGTGGTATTGATACGGAATTCTTTCCCATGGGCATCAGTAGCCACCCATGAACAGATATTGATGGGAGTTTTTAGGGTTAGGGGTACTTGCCCCACGATGGACAAGTCTAGTAGAACTGGTTGTCCAGGGGAATGGAGTGGGTTTGCAGGGTCTTTAGTCACAGTTTTCCCAGCAAGTATGGACAGAGGCTTGGGAGAGAACGTGGTAGGTTGTGGGCATCCATTAAT